GGAGGTGGTGTGTAATCCTGTTTCGAGAGCAATGTTCTTGAGTCGTGTTCCGGCCGTTCGAGCGCGAGAACAAGAAACATGTGTCAACAACAGGCCGCCCGAACTTAACTCGACATGTACAGCAACCTGCAGTTCTCTTTGGCACATTGCGCCCTCTATCGTTGTCCTTTTATGTACTACTAAAACAGACTTGAGACCAAAGCTAAAGGCAAAGATCGTGAGGTACGGTACGGAGGTGAGTGAAAGATCGCCGAATTCCGCAATGTTTGGTGGGCAATTTTCGAGTAATAATCTGCACAATGAAACTTTAGGAAAATTAACTTTGTCACTAGGAAGTAAGAACAATTGAGGATTTATTCAAAACATTTGCATTGGGAGTTCGTGGGTCGGGCAGATCATTATTTTAGGGAAGGCCTATGCCTAATATTTGTAATTAACGTTATGCATCATGCCGAGTGTCATGTGGCTGTTGTGTAACTTGATTGATATTCATGTTCTTGAAGGGAAGTATGTTCGTAGGCCTACGTATGTCCCTAGGGCAACACGCACGCGTAGGAAAGAGTTCCTTTGATGGGCCTAATTGTTAATACTAGTTGCATGGGTGATGATTTTGCACAAAATGTTAGATAGATGTGGGAAGAAAAAATCAGGCAAACGGTACCCATTTTTCCTTCACACCAGAGCCTGTCTTCATGTAGGGCTGTACAGTAGTTTACCTTTCCACAAAATTTCCATGGGTAAATGAACCTTTTTCATTGTAAGCAATGCATTATTGTGGAGCTTGGATGACAAACAAGCCATGCATTTCATGCATAAACCTATGGGGGAAGTGAACCAGTAGGAAATTTATTTTACAGATTTCTTTAGAATATTTTAAAATTATCTGCTCATCAGTGCTCATCACCTGACAGATAGGAGAATACAAGGAAGGTTTTCAAAATAACAATTTTTCAAATGTTTGTAAGAAGAAAAATCACCCTTAATTATTCATCATATTTTAAGGGCACCAGTCATTCTAGGCTGAAATAATGTGATTGGTTTATGAGGGATGAATGAGCTACAAGTTGTGATTTTGATTGGCCAATACTTTTTATACAAGGGTATTGATATTCATGATCTTAGTCAAAGTACAGTACATGGCATAAACCTGTGTTGTTGGAAGGGATTCACCAAATTTTTCTTTTCTGCCATGCTTTAAACTTAGTAGATTGTGTTACTGCAATACTGTGTCGAAAGAGGATGGCTTGAACTGCCGATAAAATGGAAATAGATTAATGTTTTGCAGGTACACTTCTCTTGCAAGGCGGCGCAGACTTACGGGAGTTTTGCAAAATGGCAGGTAGCAACCGATGCAAACACCTGAAAGGAATGCGTGCATACGTACTGATCAAAGAAATCAAACCGATCCTCTGACTGGCCATGTCGCCATATTTGCTGTTTTCATTGGTTACTATCCACCATTTTGTGAGAGTCCCAGATGTCCAACCCATGGTTGTGCATTTGCTTGTCATCCAAACCCATGTATGCATTGTGAACGTTGAACAGGTTTATTAACGATAACGCTTTACTCAGACATCCCTTGAGTGACATGCTTGACCTCCTGTGCACAAACCAGCTGAAGCAAATGGCATGAACGTCCCTACACATGTACCGTATCTATGAGACTTTGGTCTGAAAACTCTAATGTTAATGCATGTATGTTAAGTAATTTGTACTGTTTATTGGAGCCTACATACATGCACATGTATGTAAACATGGCAAATGCTTTGAATATACACATACATGTACATTTATTTGCCCTGCTAAATTTGACCCTTTATTAGGACATGTGATTGCTTATTGATGGCTGAGAATTGATGTACATGTACATGTATGTACATGTACGTGTAGCACTGTACTAGAGAAAAATAACTGATGTTCCTACATGTACATGTAGATGTAAAATGTATGGGACATGTTAGAACCCTTCCCCCATGCATGTACTTGTACCGTGTATGTACATGTACATGACACCCTTGTTATGCAAGGCTTTGATATATACAGGCTGTGCCATGTAGGTCATACTATTGGTAGATTAAAAAAAACCAGCTCAAATTAGGCCTAGATGCCAATTGATTACAATATGTTGCAGTTCCTCATTAATTTACGGAGAGTGTATCTTGAAATGCAAGTACTGGCTAAATTGAAGTAAACTTTATTTCGCAAGCTGCATGTTCATGTATGTATGTACATGTACATGTACTGTACCTGTACATACATGTATATGTAGACAGTGCCCTCTGTCTTAATTTGATACATGCAAGTGGACCTACTGCTACATGAAAAATGGTAATTACCACCAATGTAAGAGACCTGTAACCATGAGGGCAGCGGATAATGAGCACCTGTATGTGTACACTTGCAGATGTACATGTACATGTACGTGACATATCTTTTTAGCGTGAGGGCGACATTTCCCAAACTGGGTTCAAACTCAAGCCAGCATAATTCTGTTTCACCCTCTCCCTAGTGAAGAATACGATTTCATGTACTATCATGACTATTATTGTACATGTACATAGACTTCAACATGTACATGTAATTACAGATTATTACATTTCAATTTTTTGATGGCTCTGGAGGAAAAAAAGTTCAGAATTGTAAAATGGTCTGAACCCGTCTCAAGAATTCAAAGTCAAAGTGACAGTTGCTATTGCAGAACCTGATTAAGATTTGTCACAGTAAACATGGTAAAGAGTCACCAAACATGTTTTTGCTCTTATCGGGCAAGCTATCTTATTTTAAAGTAGATTTAGCCTTGTGTAAACTACAATGTACATGTAGATTTAGCCCTCACCCATGTCACCAGCTACATGTACATGTCAGCATGTACATGTAAATATGCATGCACATATGATACAAGTACAATGTACATGGTTTTATGTTCAGCACTGTTCAGTATGGTTCTTCTAAAGTAAAGACTTGATATTGTGTTGATTTACTCTATATTTATATGCAGAACATACATACAGTACATGTACATGTACCCCCAGAACCAGTGGAGCACGGTGGAGAACAAACCCCACAGTTCTGGGAGTATCAATAGTACATGGGTATCGCAAATAATCCAGGCACTACAGTGTAGTAGATGAAGTTTACCGGTTAATGCTTTCTCCAACCTCTTGCCCCCCTTTGTACCTTACATCCTTTCTGCACTTAATCCCCCCCCCCAAAAAAAAAAAAAATTAAGAGAGATCCTTTTTCAAATTTCTTGGCATTTGTGATACTTAAACTTGAAAAGCTGTAATTGTTTGGTGTGGAAATCTTTCCAATATTTCCTTTTTGAATCTGTGGAAATCTGATCACGGACCAGCTCAGACCTGCACTGTAATGCATGCCTATGCTATGGTATCACCATGGCAACTTCACTTGCAAAATGTATGTTTTATTGGTACTCACAGGCATTGGAAATTTGGAAATCTCTTGTATTTGCCCTGACTGAGGTACATGTACCAATGCAAAATATTGAAAAAGAGTCCCCTTTTTATTGTTTAAACTTTGTTACTGAATGCTAACAACTGATTGTTGACTCAAAAAAATGAGTAGAAGGTTGGCACAATTTTTGTTTCTGTTGGTTTCTCTGCGGAAAGCCCCAGTATGGGGTTTTTCCAGCAACAGTAAATGTACATAATGAGGTACTGTACAAGTTTTGCTGGTTCCCAAGCCAGCAAGTGACAGACATGTTTGTGTATCAGTCCTGATCTTCTTGCAATTTGAGGTCGGCCCGGCCCTGGTTTTGCAAACAGTTATTGTGTAGATTTGGAAGTCATTCAGCCATTCAAAAAAGTCAAATTGATGTACGTACCGGGGTACGTGTACAAAGTAGATGGACAGCACTCACGGAGTTTGTGTGGAATGGCCCGTTACAAGTCTTCATGTTGCGTGCCTTCCTGATATTGCTAGGTTACTTTTCGTTTTCTGAAACTAGGTGGTGATTCTATGCGGGGGACCAACACCGACACAGCAGGCTGACAAACTACATGTAGGCACAGACGGTCAAAAAGTATGGAATCGCAAAAGGTTGGAGCTCTTTCCTCTTCAGTGTCATTTCCTTTTCAGTAGATTTTTTTTCTATGTATCACAAACATTCACCAAAATATACACCAGTGTTTCATAAAGATCTTAGGAAAGGGTTTACACAGATGAAGGAATTATTATTGACAAATAGAAAGAATTCAAAGCAAGCTCAAGTTACGTACACACAAATGAGGGCTGTCCATGAAGTGCTTACAGGCACAAACATGATTTCTTATAGACCCCTTTCCCCTAGTATGCATAACATACAAAGCGATGCTCTTACATGTATTCAGTACTTTATGGACAGCCGCCTTGATTTAGAACAGCTGCATGATGCTATGAAGTAAGGTAATCTTCACTTTCAGGTACAGGTACATGTATAGATAATGCAGTTTATAGGTTTTGATTTGTTTCTGTGTAGGCATCGTTGTGACTTACATGTACAAATGTACCTGTATGCCAAATTCTCCTTCTATAGGGCAAGTCCATCATGAAACGGTCTCTTTGTATGTAACTGCAAATTACACAAGGACCACAGAGACCTGTATATAGGTATCTCCATCAGGATGCCTAACGGTGTAATGAAAAACCACTGCAATCCATTAATGTCTTCATGGGTTGAACTTCTGTGACGGTTAGGACAATGTGCAAAATTGTGGACTCACCCAACACTTTCCAACAGCTAGCTCCTTGGAAACCTTGCATTCTTTTTGTAAACTGCAAGGTCATGACACACTTATTGTACATGTTTGTGAGCATGTGCTTGTCTTTATGAAACTTCCTCGATGCATACTGCGTGAAGTGTTGTCTATCATGTACAATGTATTTGTCATATTGTGGAGGGCAATTGAAACAGAAGGAACGATAAGGAAGCAGAAGTGCAATGTACTGGTAGGTACGGTGGGCCAACCAATCAATTTGGCATCCTTTGGAATCAACGAAAATCAGAATACTTCACCTTTTACACAATGCACAACTTATACAAGAAGTTATAGGCTTACAGTACTTAGTCACCTGAGAAATATACATGAAATTAGCCATTTTAAATATACACATGTAGCAAACCAAAGGTGTCTTAAGTACTACCCAGACAAAAATTAATAATAATAATAATGGGTCTAAAGGGTACATGTATGCATCCATTGTTACTGGTGCGCAAGGCACTACATCATTATTACCCCTGCTCACCAGGCCTCTAATCATGTCTCAAAACCATCTCAGCTGTTTTGGAAGTATAAAGCTTAATACTGCCACACCAAACGCAAATTTACGGCTGTCGGCTCAGCAGTGTAAGATTTGAAAGTTTGCATGGTAGAGGCTAGACTAAGCGAAGGTTTATGGGTACATCATGTGGATTAAGTCTCTTCTATCCACCCAGTGAAATGCACCATCAATCGGCGAAAGAAAGACGGGTGGTAACAAGTGGGTTCTTGCATGCATTCTGCATGTTTGCAAAGACCATACATGCTACAATAAATTGGTTAAGCGTACTCAGCATGCTCCTCGTCAAATGTGCATACATGTACATGTATATACAGTACTTGCGCGCCTCACGGAGGGCCTATGCCGTGAGTACCAAAAAAAATGCCCTCTTTTGTTCCACTCGGTGCAGATAAGAGTGGTGGCTCTGAGAAGAACTGGTGAAAGGAGACGCCCAGAGCATCCTGGTGCAAACACTGAGGTCATACTCTCCTGTTCTTCTCCGAACTACCGGTACATGTGTGGTAATTCCAGAAATTAGGGGTCCATTTTTCTCGTATCCCTGTCACATCTGACATATGATTTTGTAAGCTCAGAACACATTTTCGAATTTCCAAGAGAGAGGAATTAATGCAAATTACCTGCCACACAACTTGTAATAGTTTGAAAACAATTCCGTTGATGTTGCCAATGTGCCATGTCAAACAACAAAGGTCAGATGTAACAGGGACACGAAAATGTCACACTTTTGCACCCCTAATTTCTGGAATTATGTACTTGCATCTCTGGTATGGAAGAGATTGATTCCACATGGTGTACCCGCAAACCTTCTCTCAGACCTCAGCAGCAGTAGGGAATATGGGCGGTTCATGATAGTCATGATAGTGCGCCGACAAGAGTTTGCAATGCGTTGGCCAATCACGATGTGCGAAATCTGTCGACCCAATGCACGCTTGGCCTTGGAAAGGGTCGACAGATTGTGATTGGCCAATGCATTGCAAAGTCGTGGAAGCGCACTATTGTGAATCACCCGTATTAATATCCAATTTCTCAATATGGCAAATGCTTTCGCATGTACCGTAGCTGGTCCCATCCACTCCGAATGGTAACGCAAGCAACGACGGGAGGCCAAGGGAAGAGCAGACGAACTACGGCACCCTGCGATGCTATGGGGAAAGTGACCTCGAGCAAAGCTCCGATGTCATTTACCTGACCATTGGGGATAAAAGTACTCCGAGATCAGACGAGGTATGTGTGTGTACAGTATTCCTCATTTTGATTTGATGCTGTTATTACAGGACTTAACATGATAACACCAGGACGCTAAAACAACCTGCAATTACTTCATAAATATGGTACTTGATGTAAAAGGGACCTTGTTTTGCCACCTGTTTTCAAGTTACTCCATAGAACAAACAGTTCTTGCATTGTGGACTTCCACTTGTTTTCATCGTTGGCAAACATGGGCATGGCTGTCAATTTTGTGTAAAGCAGTACTTAGTGTTTGTGGACACTGTGACTGCGGGCCGTGTAGATGTCTTTGTCAGTATTTTGTTTTAGGGGACATTATCCGAGTCAATTTCTTTTGAGACGCCCAGAATTTCAAGACATTGACCTGGGTAATCAGGAAGTCATCTTGGACATGTCCTTGAAAGCCTTGATGTCCTTGTTCTGCGTGATTGCACTGGTACTGAAGTATAATTCCTGAACATCTGTGAAAACCTGGAGCACTTTTAGCAGCAATAGGCAGCTTGAAGACTGTGGATAGCCCATGAATTGCAGGCAACCCCCAGGTGTGTGTCTTTGAACACCATGTTTCTGGTCTTCGACGGGCCAGAAAGCATCAGCTGTCTGGAGGTTTTTCCTTGGATTTTCAGGGCACTTTTAATTTCCTCAGAGTCAGTGAAGGTAGAGGTTTTTCCTTGGATTTTCAGGGCACGTTTAATTTCCTCAGTCAGTGAAAGTGGTGTATACATGTACATGTAGGTTTCTCTCAGGCTGTCTTGGGCTCTTTGGCAAGCCGAAGAACTTTGTAAGCCATTAAAATGATTTACCTTGACAGCAGGAAATGCTGAGGTTTCTTTGATATCAACAGAAGTAGCAAACTCCAAGGGTAACTTTAAGAAGTAGCCGAAGAAGCGACAGCCAAAGTTATGGTCTGAAGAGACTTGAACGTCAATTTTTTAGAAGGCACCTGGATAGTCGCAGGCAGCTTGTTTGGTACCTAGGGAAGTCGTGAAATCTCTCTTGTACATGTACATGTACGCATGACAGATAGGCCACAGCTGATGACAGCACATTCTAAGCACCGAGGTGTGATACAGAACCTCCAATGGCCAAAGCTGATGACAGCACATTCCAAGCACTTTGGTGGGATACGAAACCTCCAATGGCAATTCTGCACTCTCATTCTTTGGCTGGTTGCTTATTAGTTTTTCTCTCGTCACTATTCCGAACAGTGTTTTCTTTCAACATATCTCAGCCAAACCAGGCTGACCAGACCCAAGGATTGCATGCATCCCAACATGATGAACGCTAGATCATAACTTCCAGTGCAGTCGTATATGAACCCTGTTCAAAATGAAAAATAAAATTGCCCCTAAAATTACTGTCTGCCATAAGGTAAACAATTTGAAGCATATTGCATAGTACAAAAGTTGCAAAAAATTTTGAGAAGAATATTCCAGTAAAGCCCAACACTATTCGCCTACTCTGCGATGGGGAAAGCGTAACGAACTGTTACCCCAGTCAGTGTTTAAAGGTAGTGAACACCATTGATAAAATCCCCGAAATCAGACACCTGAAACATCTCACTTGAAAGAAAGTACATAACAGCCTCAATCAGTCTATAAAATATTTCTGCCCAGAATGCTGGAGCATTCGAGAAAACAGAAATTTTGTTCTCTCTTTTTACGATGGTCGTCCGACCATCATTTAGGAGTTGATTTCACTTTGCACTGCACATTCTTTAACAGGAGCCAATTTTCTTGTGTGTTGTGTGTGGGAGTGTCCATTAATGAATGGGTAAACCCAAAAGCAGCTTAAAAGTATGATAGTGACAGAAATCCCCCAAAGGCATTGTAAGCTGAAATTATGGGAAGCTGAGTATAAGGTGTAAAGTGGAAAATAAATTGGATGAGTGTGAAGTTAAATTTTCTTAACGCGAAAACTTAGCGAATTCAAAATCATTCCTGGAGCATAATGATATGGTCCAAATGTGGTGGCTCCTGGTGAAAGGATTTTCGTCAACAAAGAGTATGATTTCCACACGTTAAACATCCATGTTTATTCAGACTTTCATTGACGTTTGATCTGACATGAAAATGTGGTCATTATTAAGCACGATCGCTTGCACACGTTTATTAGGCCTAGGCTTACTTGTTTCAGTGTTGCAGACACAAATTGATTGCATTCCTGGATGAAGTTTTTTCATGAATCGAGGATTCATTGTCATGGAGGGGCAAGGTAAATGCACTGATTACTCCAGGCCATTGAAAACTGCTCCTTTTTAAGGGAAAGAGAACCTGTCATGCCTGTTTCCCACCCTGCCCGGACCCCATGGATGTTTTCGCTTACTACGAACTCCCTGTAATTCATAGATTTTACGCCAGATAAATTACAAGATCTGCGATTTAATTGTTGAAAATGCCGTGCTGTTTTTCTTGATTTTTCACAAAGCAGTTGACGCAAACATGAAACTAGTAAACTTGTGGAATGTATCGTAAGTTACTGTGAATATTATACACCACAATCAGCCAATCTTGTGAAATAATGACCAAAAAACAATGGTGTCCACTACCTTTAAGAAGCAAACTTTACGTAAGTATTTGTCGCTAATGTGCTGTTCGCATGTATGTGCATGTACATGTACCAGTACATGTACATATAAAATGGAGGAAGCCAAAGACAGCACCTTATCATTTGTATCATTTGTATCATAATTCTAGGTTATCACAGTTGCTGCCCCTTATAAAAGATTCTGAAACCCAGGTTCCAAGAACATGATCTTATACTGTTTCACCCATTTGAAGCAAGATACATGTATGAGACGGAGAGAACGCCCCCCTTTTTGTTGGTCATTGTTTCACTGGAATCTGAGGAGTTCTTTTCAGACATCTGGGGGGGATGTGTTAGGTAATAATAGTCTAGAGTGTACACGTATATATAGCGATTTCTTTCGGTCTCATTTCTTGCTGGATGTACACTGTACATGTAGTCTTACCGATAGGTGTCACACGTGTAAAAAAATCTGGACTTGCAATGCCCTTATTTAGCCCACATACATGTACATGTACTGGTCGGTCATTGAGGCTACAAGCGGCCATGCTACTGTGCTGATTACATCTATGTATAAAAGGCTTGCTCAACTTTGTTAACCAAAGCACTGCAAGTCCAGACTTTTTCAAATGATGTCCGTGGTCTCACCTGGCAGGAATCCTATCGCCACTTGCACAATGCCACAGCTCATTCCCAGCCAGCCAAAGGCACTGGCCAGCTGCTCCTTGCCCATGATCTCCTTGACAAGAACATCCCTGAGATTGTAGCTGATGCAGATGGAAGGCAGCACCAGTATCCCGCAGGTCAGGATCTGCCAGTTCAGATCCATCCACTGATCGATGAGCAAGCCCACGGTCGAGATGGACACGGTGGTTGCCAGCAGTGTCCGACAATCAATATAGCCCTTGTCCACAAACGGGCCGTGGACGACCTTGGCAATCAGTGCCACGGTGCCGGCAATGGTCAGGAACAGCGCCGCATCTTGCGGGGCCACGCCCTTATCTGTTAAGTGGGGGATGTAATATATGCGCCACAAGACGAACGTGTTCTGCAGGCTGCAGCTCAACAGGAGGATAACCCAGTAGTAAATGTTGAATAAGATGTCCGTGTTGAAGTCGGCGATGACTTCTTGGCACAGTGATGAGCAGTCCGTTTTGGACTGGCAGTTTTCTGCATTGTCGATGAAGTCTTTAGAGGTCAGCAGTAGGGAGGCCTCATCTGGAAGTCTTGCTGGTGCCTCGTCCGAAAGGGGCTGCGGGTTGCCCCGGAGGAGGGCGCCACATGCCGCGATATGCATGAAGCCCGAGCCGATCAGCAGCATGGCACCTCGCCAGCCGAAGCAGGTCAGCAGCAGGTGGACCAAGGGCGGTAGGATGATGTGGGCAAAGTTGGTGCCTGTCTGCGCGATCCCATTAGCGAGCACATACCTCTTGCTGAAGCAGAGGCCCACAAGGTTACGGGTTAGAACGCTGGATACTCCAATGCCGAGCCCTGGGGGGATGGTGACAGACAGGTGATATGAATGAAATACATACATGTACATGTACGTGTACGACTGTGCCATACACTTGCCTTGGAAGGTACTGTACATACATGTACATGTATATTTTGCCATACAGAGGCATCATGCAATTGCTACAGTGCATCTGTTACAGGTGTTTCAGATAAACGTTACACACTTTCAGTTAAAGGAACTTTCAGTTGAAGTTTGGCAACATTTCCCGGTTGCTGTGCCTAGCACAAAAAATTACATGGGTACACTCAAAGATTTCCATTGTAACCGGTACGTCACTAAGTTAAGCAAAGTTTTCCTGCAAGGTTAGCGTGCGTTTTTCTGTGCTTGCTGCTAACAGTCTCCATGAAATAGGTGGAGCCTCTCAGTTTAGGGTAAAATTGTGTGCTTAGCAGCACCATGAAATAGGGCCCAAGCTACATACACATAGAGCATTTATAAACACAGCTTGTCTCGCTATGTATTGCATACGAGACGGGTTTCACTTACCAACAAATATGACCAGAACGAGACCTATAAGGTAGACATTGTCTTCAACCGCTGAACCCAGCATGAACCCGGCCCCCGTCATGAAACCACATATCATAATGATTTTGCGAGAGCCAAAACGTTTCCGAAGGGGAGCTGCTAGTGGCCCTGCACATGTAGATCAAAAAGATTAACAAAATGAAAGACACATACCGGGTACCAACAATGCCAGAGTGAGGTTATTGTCATTAATACTGTTCACTTACAGCATGTACATGTACATTATCCCTTGACTTTGCCTACGGTACATGTGCTGGTATATGTTTGTACGTACATGTATGGTAGGAACTTCCATAAATCTTCCAGGAAAACAGTCACGATTTCCTCACACTTCAGTTCTTTCTTTGACTTTACACTCTTCAAGGGGCATTCAGCTCCACTCCCAATAAATACATTTATAAGACTTTTATAAGAGAGAGAGAAAATGTTG